ACCTCTTAAGCACAGCATATGGGGAGACATAAGGGAAGGGCTGGTAATTTTAACTACACACAAAAAAGGTTTGAAGCTTTATGCCAAAAAGGAAAGTGGGTTTGGAATTCTCCATGGTGCAGGGTTCTCTGTGCCTCAGAGTTGACCTGTGCCTGGGAATTTTCTGGTTTCTGTTTCTCATGGGTGGTGGAGACTAAGCCATGAGTCCCTGGGTCCTGTGGTGACAGCCCAGCCCTGGGAAGAGCTGTGGGGCAGAGAGAGAGGGAGGGGACAGAGAGAGGGAATTGGGGGGGGTGGGTGGCTCAAGCCACCAGCCACCATGGGCTTCACCTCTCCCTTCATTTCTTCTCTTTCCTCCTTCCTCTTCCTCCTTCCATCCTTACTCCTTCTTGTCTTCCTCCCTCCTCCTTTTTCTCCTCCCTCCTCTTCTTCCTCTTCTCATCCCTCCCTCCTCCTCTCACCTTCTCCTGTCCTCCTCCCCTTCCTCCTCATTCTCCCTTCCTCCTCTTCCCCATCTTCTTCTCTTTCTCCTCCTTCTCATCCCCTTTTCATCCTCTCCACCCTCCTTCCCGTTCCTCCTTCCTCCTCTTTTTCATCCTCTCATCTCCATCCCCATTCCCTTCCTTGCTGTTCCCCTCTTCCTCTGTCTCTTGCACCTCTGCATCTTTGCACCTTTCTCTCCATCTACGCCCTTCCTACTCCTCTTGCCTCCCTCCTCCCACTCCCCCTCCTCCATTTGTATCACCCCTCCTCCCCTCCACTCCTCTTGCCTTCTTAGCCCTTACTCAGCAGTGGCCATGACCTGAGCCAGGGCCCCAGACTGCACGGCCCAGGGGCCCGCAGGCCCTCCCTACTGCCTCCAGGCTGCCAGCCCTTGCTGCTCTCTGGCCAGGAGCCCCAGGCCTGGAACCCTATGAAGGAGCTGGACCCATGTTCTAGCCCTAAGTCTGCCCCTGACAGCCGAAGCTCGGAGGATCTGGGTAAGTGTCCAAGGTCCGAGACTTGACGGGACAAAAAGGCCCAATTTCAGGGGACAGGGTCAGGGGACCAGTGGCTGCCTCTGTGTCTTTGTGAAACTCTTGCTCTGAGAGCAAACTCTTGCTTTCTAGTCCCACCTTCTCCACTCAACCTGACTGTACCACCCCATCTATCCAGCCCCTCAGGGACAAGCTTTCGGAAAGGTGGATCTGTCTGTCCCTCTCTGGGACAAACCCAGACCACCTGTGCTGCACTAGTCCACTAGAAAGCTGTCCTCAACTTCTTAAGGGAGGGGAGGCTAGCTTTGTGTTTTTCTAGAAGTGACTGCCACAGAGGTGGCTCCCTGTCTCTGGCCTCAGGTTCAGCCCTCTTGTCCCTCCACCCACAGAGCCACCCCACCACCCTTCCATCTTTGAAACAGAGATGTCCTCAGACTGGGAGCCCATGGCTGAGTCGGAGGAGCAAGTCAGTCCCTGCAGGCCTGCCACCCCAGGCCCTGTACAGGGGAAGGCCTTAGTCAAAGGCCTGTGCGACAACCAGCGTCTGCAGTGGGAGGTGAGCTTTGAGCTGGAACCGCCAGCCCTGCAGAGGGAGGACGAGCAGGATGCCGACATGTGGAGCAAGACCTTCCACCACCTGGCAGCGCGCGCCATCATCCGTGACTTCGAGCAGCTGGCGGAGCGTGAGGACGAGATCGAGCTGGGTAAGCACCCAGGATTGAGGAGGGGGCCATATGCCCTACCAGAAGCCAGCCCTTTAGAAGCACG